TAACGGAGGAGGCCATCCACTTGCCTCCCGCTCCGGACATAGTTGGAGAAGGTTGAGGTGAGATGTGCGGACTTGGGTGCTGGAGCTCGAGTTCGTGGAGATGGATAAGCAAAGGAGGAAGAAGGCATAGGTAAAAGGGTGGATCTTTATCCCCTTATGTGGGCGGACGAAACCATGCGGCCCCACCGGCCTGATAAAACTCGCTTATCTCCCAAGCGCCGCAATCAATAGCGCGGTTGGGTTACCCACGTCCGTATTGATGGGAATCCCGGAATAAGGGGAACACGATCTCTGCTTCGACAAGACGTGCCAAGGAAACCGCTTCGCTAAACGCGCTGAGGTGGTACAATAAAAACAATTCAAGTAAAGGCTTGGTGGTGGTGTGACATCACGCCACAAAATACGTCAGCAGATTGAACTTGTGTAAATATTATTCTCTCTACGGTGGTATGTGGAATTTATTTTGCAGAGCCGGACACAAAATACGTCAGCAGATTGAACTTGTGTAAATATTATTCTCTCTACGATGGTATGTGGAATTTATTTTGCAGAGCCGGACACTATCCTGGTGTTCACGATCTTCTATGAATTATTCGGAGGAGGAACCCGCCTTGCAATGCCGAAGACAATATGCGCGCCGGACTCGTCGTCATTGAAGCCTGGTTCAGGGGCTACTGAGGGAGTCCTGGACTAGGGGGTGTTCGGATAGCCGAACTATCATCATCGGCCGGACTCCAAGACTATGAAGATACAAGATTGAAGACTTCGTCCCGTGTCCGGATGGGACTTTCCTTGGCGTGGAAGGCAAGCTTGGTGATACGGATATGTAGATCTCCTACCATTGTAACCGACTCTGTGTAACCCTAGCCCTCTTCGATGTCTATATAAACCGGATGGCTTTAGTCCATAGGACGAACAACAATCATACCATAGGCTAGCTTCTAGGGTTTAGCCTCCTTGATCTCGTGGTAGATCTACTCTTGTAATACCCACATCATCAATATCAATCAAGCAGGACGTAGGGTTTTACCTCCATCAAGAGGGCCCGAACCTGGGTAAAACATTGTGTCCCTTGTCTCCTGTTACCATCCGCCTAGACGCACAGTTCGGGACCCCCTACCCGAGATCCGCCGGTTTTGACACTGACAGTCGTCCCGTCGTTCCACCGCTTTGGGGCGGCCGTCTTGGTCGCGCTCGATGGTGATGCGAGTCCGACTGTGGCTGACAGCCGGCTCCTTGTCCTTCTTTCCGCGGGCCTCGCTAGTCGGTGTCCGAGACGTCGCGCCTTGGTCTTGGCGGGGTGGCGGGTCATCATTTTGTCGCCGCGGCGCCTCCGTGCGGCAGCTGGCTTCGTTCTGCGCGGCAGCCACGTCGAGGAGCTGCTGAACTCGCTCCGTCATCATGCGGCGCTCTTCGCCCTCGAAGTTGTCAAGCTCGTCTGCCGCCGCCTGGGCGGCACGGATGTTCTCCGCGGGCGTGGCATAACGATCGGCCCCGAACAAGTTGGCGATTGTCGCGACGCGTTGCCGGACCGCGCCTAGGCGGCTAGGCCCAGTCGGAGCCGGCGAGCCGCCCACGGCGCGATCCATCTCGCGCTGGTAGGCTTCTGACAAGCGCCTCATGCTTGCCAACTTCTTCGCGCCCTCGATAAGCTGAAGGCGGCGTGCCTCCAGCGTCTCGGCGTCAGCGTCTCCCGGGATCGGCGCGGTTAGGTCTCGTAGGGCTGCGTCGAGTGGGTCATGAGCCCCCTCACTGGAATGCTCGCCGTGATCGAGGACGAGAACTTCCATGACGGTGCTTTCGCCGCTCCCCGCGCAAGGAAGCGGCTCGTCATAGACCACCACGTTGGTGGGAAACGCGTCGAGCGACGCGGTGTCGGAGTCGACCAGCATCGGGTCGGTGGATCCTATGGACTCCAGGTCCACGGCAAGCTCGCCGACGACGTGGAGTTGGTCGAGGAGACCCGCGAGGAGGCTCTCGGGGCCGCTCGTGCCTGCGTCGGACGCAGGCTCATCGGAGAGGCGAACCTCACCGATAAGCTCGGTGAGGCAGCTGGCCGCGCAGGCGATCTCAGCGCCGTGCAGTGCATCGGCGCAGGCTCCATCTGGCGTGCTGGGCTGGCTGCGCTCGCCAGGGAGGAAAAGGGTTCCCGTCCAGAGCAGGTCTCCGGACGACGGTGCACCTCGCCCCACGGTGGGCGCCAAATGTCGGGGGTTGGGTACGACATATGCCAAAGGATGGCTTATCATGGTGGGAGCGAGTAGAACATCGCCGGTGCCCGGAAGCGGGATGAGGCGAAGACATGCACGCCGGCGGAACTTACCCAGCTTCAAGGCTCTCCGAAGAGATAACACCCCTACTGCTACTCTGCGGGGTCTCCGCATGGTCACTATGGCAAAGTGGTTACAATGGTGCTCCTGGAGCTGTTTCTCGAGGTAGGAGAGGGCAAGGCTAGCTCTCTCCTTCCTATGCTCTAAGGTCTATCTCTATCTGGGTCCGAACCCCTTGCATGGGCTTCCCGGGGGGTTTATATAGGCCTACCCCCCAGGGGTACAATGGTAATCTGGCTGGGCGCGGGTCCCAGCCGTCTGTCTCTCAGGCCGTCGTCCTCTCTGCCGACTACTGGGGCCTGCCGACTGGCGGGCCCCGCGGACAGGCCTGATACTGTAGCGGTACTCCTGATGACGCTGGCTTGGTCATGTGGTTATGGCAACAGTGCCGCCGTCTGGCGTGCATTCACTATCGCCATTCCCCATCTTGTCTGGTTAATGGCGCGCGGGGCCCATGGGAGGGGTCGGCCGACTCCGGGGGGCCGACTCCCACGGGTCCATCGTTGGGGCGCTTGTGCCGTCTTCTATCTACCCACTGACAGGCGGCCCTGCCGTCCTTGGGTCGTACAGGCAGGCGTCGTGGGCACAGTGCGCCGCCCATTGTGGCTGAGATCAGGGCAGGCACGACAACAGTGCCGCGCCACGCCGGAGATCTTCAGCGATACGGCTTACTGTAGCCATGCCGGCCCCTTGTAAGCAAGGGGGACGGCCACGCCGTGGCCGTACCCCGCCTCACCCTTCGAGATGAGGGTGGAGTCGCGGGCCGACTCTTTATAGCCGGCCTCTCTGGAAGTCATCGGCCATGAGTCGGCATATCTTGGAGTCGTCCCTAGGACTCGGCATATCTTGGAGTCGCCGTCTGGGACTCGGCATATCTTGGAGTCGTCCCTGGGACTCGGCATGAGCGGCGCTACTTATCCCAATGTCTTGAAAGGCTCTGGGGCTCGGGTTTGCCTACCCGTGGCCCATTACTCCGACACCCACAAGGGGGCTGGCACGCCCACCTCCTGGCCTTCGGCCCCAGGGGAAGGAAAGAGGAGGGGTTGGCCCCTCCTACCTTTCTCCACGCAAGGGAGAAGGAAGGGGAGGCGCCATAAGGCAGCCCCCCCTTCCCCCCTCCCCACGCGCCAAGAAAGAAGGGGGCACGTAGGGTAGGTGCCGTCCCCTTAGGGTGCGCCTAGGGCTGCCTCCCCTCCCCCTCCACCTATATATATATATGAGGAGGGGAGGGGGCGCCACACACCACGAATCCTCAAGTCGTGTGCGGCGTCCCCTCTCCCTCTAGTTCGTCCTCTGCTCTAAATCGTTGTGCTTGGCGAAGCCCTGCGAAAATAGCTTTCACCACCACCGTCATCACACCGTCGTGTTGCCGGAGCTCATCTACTTCTTCGCCCCTCTTGCTGGATCAAGAAGGCGGGGACGTCATCGAGTTGAACGCGTGCTGAACGCGGAGGTGTGTGCGTACGGTGCTTGATCGGAACAGATCGTGAAGTTGTAGGACTACATCAACCGCGTTGATAAACGCTTCCGCCTAGTGATCTACAAGGGTATGTAGATGTTCTCCCCCTCTCGTAGCTATGCATCTCCACGGATAGATCTTGCTTGTGCATAGATTTTTTTTATTTTCCATGCAACATTCCCCAACAAGTTCAACATACTCAAGGGAGGCTAGAGGGAGCAGATACTTTGCACCCCATTTTCGGGAAGAGGAGTTACATGTATGCTGGTTTCGAAATGTACACTCCCACCTACCTACCTAGATGGAGAGGTGAAGATGATGTACATTCGAAATGTACACTCCCACCTAACTGCCTGCAAAGGTGAAAAGAAAAATACGCTACTCCCTACCCGCCCGTAAAGACGAAGATACTATACACTCAATGCCGCGATATTGGAGAAGTTACCTTCTCGTCCGCCATTACCCGTCACGAGAAAATTCAATAACTATCTATCGACCCGCATCCTCGCACACTCCGCCCACTAAAACTCAAGAGAAGTCGTAGTTTTCTAAAGTACATTATAAATAGAGAATCAAGCTGCAAAATACTATTCCCTCCGATCCAAAATAAGTGTCATGGGTTCGGTTCAAATTTTGTTAACAACTACGTAGATGTAGATACCGGGTTCATTGGTTGGTCCACCGGAACCAACACCGACGCAACCGCCACGTATCGGCAGGCAGTAAAAACCGCAACCCATTTCACCGTCATGTCTCACTATTTCAAGTCAAACTTTGTTAAACTTGGCTAAATTCATACATATAGACTACTCCTCTCTAGTCTAGATGGTATATAAGGATCACAAAATTGGAGAGAAAGAGAAGAGGAAAGAAACGCAACGCAAAATTGGGAGAGAAGAGAAGAAAAGGCTAGGACGGTGTCCGTCCCCAACCCTCCTCCCTTTATATTTGTTTCGAGTTTGTTTGTGCCCCGCAGTCCGCCTCCAACCCAACGCAGTCCACACGCGACGCGCAGCCAGCCAAGGCCGCCCGCCCGCCCATCGCCCCCTCCCCCCTCCAACCCTAACCTGCGCGGCCGTAGATCCCATCCAATCATCGCGCCGCCGCCGCCGCCGCCCGACCCCAGCCTCCCCCGCCGCCCCCCGGGCCGCGATCGGCGTCCTCCCGCCGCCGCCGGAGGAGGAGGGGGAGGCTCGCCCGCGACGGGGGCCATGGAGGCCGGCGGCGCCGCCGCGGCGGAGGCCAAGCTGCTCACGCCCGAGGAGGAGGCGCTCCGGCGCAACACCGACTGCGTCTACTTCCTCGCCTCGCCCCTCACCTGCAAGAAGGTATGTGCCGCCCGCCGATTGCTCCCTCGTTCCTCCCTACCTCCCCTTCCCTTCCTTCCAAGCTGGCCCGCTTCGTGCGGCGCGGCGGTCTTGATTCACGCGATTGGAGCTCGTAATTTCGTCCGGGAATCGAGTCGCGGGTAGGGCATCCCATCTGGGCTAAGCACCGGAGAGAAAGATTTCGTTACCCAAGATCGACCCTGTATCCACGATGTTCTTTGTCGATGTGCAGGGCGTGAATTGCCATCTTTCTTGGTTTCCGATGCTAGGGCTTGGTCACGCTGTGTTCCTGTTGCTCGACGGGAATCGGGACGGTAGACTTATACCTATACCTAATCCTAATCCTAATTGAAGGTGAAGACAACCCATTTGAGGAGGCATCATTAGTTTGAATGCGCCCCCAGCAAATTGACTATTGCCTTGATTATACCCCGTTTAGCCGTGGGGACAAGGTGGCAACATGAATCACAACGTCTGTTTGCCCAAGATGTTGATTTTACCTGGTTCATGGGGAGGATTTCTTGATAGGAATTTCTTATTGCCCACAGGGTTATGCTTCCCCTGTCTGAAAATTTTGTTTGCTCCTGAAGACCTGAACATCTCCTTCTTTTGAAAAGAATATGTTATCCAATAACAGATGTCCAGATTACAACAACAATAGTTCTGATAATCTTTGTTTTTGTATGTATTTAGACGTCGGTAGTCTCTTTCTGAATATCATATTGGTACCTGCTTTTAGTCTTGTACCTTTGAAACATCCTGCAATTCAGACATGCCTAATTGACTAGTGTCTTACTCCAGAAAGTAACACTTCTTCTTCTGTTATGCCTTTTTTTTGCTTCATTTAGTGCTTGTATATGCGTAGGATCTTAATGTATTATGTCCACATAGGTCTTCTCTATCTTTACTTTGGAACACCCTATGTGGTGTAAATGCAGTAATGGACTTATGTTCTCACCAGTTAATTATCCTTGGGGCGCTTAAGATTGACCTTGTTTCAAAATTTATGTTTGATTCCCGCTTTGCTATTAGATTTTACCTGTTAAATTTCTGTGCTTCAGTTTCTATAGTTTATATATTGATAAGTCCATTTCTTTGTAGAACATTATTCAGATCATGCTACAGTATGCATTACAGACCATGATTTCTTACCGCCAGAAGTTTGGTTATTAGTTACCAGTGAGAATCTTTTTCGCTGACCTTGCTTTGTTCTTTCTTTCAGGGGAACCAATGTGATTTTCGTCACAGTGAGGGTGCCCGGATGAACCCTAGAGATTGTTACTACTGGTTAAATGGCAATTGCTTGAATCCAAAATGTTCATTTCGCCATCCGGTAATACCCCTTTTTCCTTTATTTTCCCTGCTTATTCACCATAAGACCTTGTAATATCTGCAAGCAAGTGGCATCAACAATTATCATATTTATTCTGTTCATAGTAACTAACAAGGCATGATCGTAGAAACCACTGTAGTGCTCCTAGTCATGATCTTGCAGTTCGTTTTGACATTATAAGTTGAAATTGTTACCTTAATTCTAATTCTGTTTTCTCTACTTTTGGCCAGCCAATTGATGGTATGTTTGGTGCTCCAACTCCTGGAATACCTGCAGTTTCTTCACACTATGCTGCTTATAACTCGGGCAAGCAGATGGTCCCGTGTTATTACTTTCAGAAAGGGAACTGCATCAAAGGTGATAAATGCCCTTTTTCCCATGGACCGCAGCCCGCTGGCAATAATCCACCAGAACAGGTGGCGAAGGTTTCTTCCTTTCCTTTGGAGCAGCCTCAGACCCAAAAGAATGATTTTTTGGGTGTTAAGGAGTTTGCGCAGACAAATCATCTAATTCAGCAAGGTGGCCCAATAATTGGCGACAGGTCCAAGTCAGTTAATAGGGTTGCAGCGAATTTCGCCAGGACAGCAGCAGCTGCAATACCAGCTGACCTAGCTTCCAGTGCAGTGAAATCTTTGCCCAAGTCAGGGAGGGTAAAAAACAGCATGCCAGCAGCAAATAAAAGTGTCGGAACCTCTTCAGGCGAGGATCATCCCGAGTGCTATCAGAACAATCTTCCTGTGGAAACTGATCCTATGCAAGATTGGAGTCAACCTTACCAAACACCTCCTCAGGATGACATGCCCGAGGACAGTAGAGATGCTGATGACTTATTGGGGGAGTCTTCGCCTGGTTTTGATGTTCTTGTGGCCAACGATGCAGATGCCGGTGCTTATATGCACGATCCTGACGATTTTGGAAGGGATATATATCCAGTAGAAGATTATGAATATGCTCCGGCTGATTTTGAAATCCAGTCTCATCATGAAAGAGAGCTATTTAACGGAATGGGTGAGCAAGGACCGATCGGACAAATGTATGATGGCTATGACAGGAAACGTCGTAGAACATCTTCTGAGAGGAACTTGGACAGACCTTCCTATTCAGAAAGGAGGTCTCGGCAGAGAGACACTGGCCCTGTTGAGATAGATGGGTCAGATTTACGTCACCGGCTCCGCAGGAGAAAAATAAATGGGTCTCCAGGCGTCAGCCCGGAACGCAGTGGAGAGTCGCGTCGGAGGGATGACCGCTACAGGGAAAGGGCATATGATGGTCACCGTACACACAGAGATCGCCATCAGGGCCCTCGAGGGAGCACTCTAAGCTCCCGTCTGCAAGGCAGAATAAAGCTTCCTGGAAGATCACCTGATAGAGTAGATGCTCGCTCTGAGAGAGAGCGAGATAGAAGACAACTCCGGGACAGGCTGTCTCCAGTTATGCCTATGGATATTCAGGGAGGCAGGCATCGGGAGGCAGGGCATCATCAAGAGAGGATCCGGCAGAGATCAAGCGAGCGTGCTTCAAGTGCCAGGATCGCTGATGGCAAGCATTCAAGACGGAATGTAACAGATTCACTCAACTTCGCCAGCCGGAAAGACTTTGGTCCAGAGTCTAGGAAGGCGAATGGAAGTGTTCAATCTGAAGCATCTCTTGATTTTGAAGGCCCAACCCCTCTCAGTGTCATCTTACAGAGGAAACGACAGGCTGCAAGCGGCAATGGCAATGGCTCATCTGCCCACAATGTGAAAGAAGATAAATCTGCTGTGGTCTCTCACAGGCAGGCTCAATCTCCGGCTGAAGCCGAGAAGGAGGGGTACGACAACACTATCAGTTCAGAAGAATACAAGAGTAGATCAGGTGATGAAGAATATAAAGAGGAAGGCCAGGTCCCTGCATCTTCGTCACACGGTGACAAAGCTGAGGCTGAAGATATGATTGAAGTGGAAAATCAAGAGGCTGATAACTATGAGCAGAGGCAGGGTGAGTCAGAGTATGAGGCGACTGAAGGCTACGAGTACAAATCCGAAGATGAGAATGCATATCAAGACGACGAGGAAGAGTTTGAGGATGACGATGATTTTGCCCGGAAAGTCGGGGTCGTCTTCTCTTGAGCTCTGGCTCTGCTTTTCTTGGCGCTTCTTCAGGCCGGGCCAAAATGCTTGATTTCCCCTCTAGTGATTGATCCTCTTGGATGAATTCTTGTGGCGCTCCATGTTTCCTGTTTCAAGTTGATAGCGCCAAAAAGGCCTGGTCTTTCCCGGGGCTTATGAGCGATAACTGATATTATATAAGTATAGGTCAGGCATTGAGCGAGGTAGATGATGATGATTCGATAAACGAGAAAGTAATCTTTACGTGTAAAAACAGCTGCTGCAGTTTGTTGAGCGTATCCTGGAACTCTGTATTGTATTAGTTTCATTACTAACAAACATGATGATGATACTCCATTGATATTTTTGTGCCTGAGATGGATAATATAACACCCCCCTCCAACTTGGAGGGCATCTTTTATTTTCTTGACAGAAGAAAAAAGCTTTGATTCTTTAGCTCCATTTGCCTGGATGCAAGTGTGCATATATTTGATTGCGAAATCGTTTTGTTTCATCAGTTGATCTGATCCATGTTTCAGCTTTATAAACTGGATCTGGATCTGGGTGGGGATCAGTGGTGCTGTTGGTTGTACTACTACTATTTTATCCATCCATGACTGTCTGTCTGCAGTTAGCAGTCAACTGAGTATGATTCCTGATCTTGTGCGATGCCAAATGATCCAATCGGGACACAAGTTGAGTATAATGTACTCCCTCCGTTCGGAATTACTTGTCTCGAAAATGGATGTATCTAGAACTAAAATATGTCTAGATACATTCATTTTCACGACAAGTAATTCCGAACAGAGGGAGTAAGAGTTTTGGCTATTTTTGCACTGGCCATGGGCAGACCAGCAACTTGGTAAGATATGACAGTACGTAAATAATTGCTATAATCCGACCTCGCTTGCCACGAGATTGTTAGTGTATTAGGCCAATCTCAAGAGCTCACATGCTGCTGCCCTGCAGATCTTGCTGATCATGTGCTCGCACGTTATGCATGTAGCAGTATAATATAGTACTGTACCTATTATCTTAGATAGTGTTAGATACATCTGTTCGAATGTCAAATAAACGGTTTGTAGATGAGATAGTTTCAGGATAGTGAAAATGTGCAGACGTTGGATAATGTATAGTCTCAGAGAGAGGAATACTAGTAATGTATTTCCTCTAAAAAGGAAAATTCATAAAAAAAAAGCAAATTGTATTTTATTTTAGTTAAAAAACATTTTTTTTATGATGGAAAAAGAGGTTCTTCTGGATGGCTCTCTCGTGGCATATAGCGCCGGCCGCTCGCTCCGTCCCGAGTAAAGGAGAGGCTTCCAGAGTCCACTCCGTCCAGGCTTGTTGGTTGGCTTGGACCTTGGAGCTCGGCGAAATCCGGAGCGTCTCGCGTGCGCGTTGGGGAGTGTCAGCAGCCATGGCCGCCAGGAGGGTGCTCCTGCTCTGCGGGGACTACATGGAGGACTACGAGGTCGCCATCTTATCCTCCTTCCCCTCCTCCCCTTCCGTGCACCGATCAAATCGATTCCCCTTCTACTACTTCGTTTCCTGCGATTGGCGTGTACTGATTCCGGTTGATTTCTTTCCTGGGTCCATGGATGTACGGATCAGGCCATGGTCCCGTTCCAGGCGCTGCAGGCGTACGGGGTGTCCGTCCACGCCGCCTGCCCCGGCAAGAAGGCCGGCGACGCCTGCCCCACCGCCGTCCACAAGCCCGTCGGCCACCAGGTGCGTCCTTGGATCAGTTTCCCCCGTCTGCTGTTTCTGTCGAGTAGTTGGTACTGTATGTTCAAGTGGATAGGGTTTGGCCGGGCTGTGGTAGTGAGAAGAGCATGACAGATTTAGCACGGCCAGTTAGTTTGAGAGATTCATTCTTATGCGACACGAATTCCTTTGTAAAGTGCACACGAGCTGACTAATCTCTAAGAAGAAATTCTCTAAGTCAGTCTGTGTTCTGTAAGAGGGAAACCCCTGTGGTAACTGTCTGTAAGACGCCAGCATCGTTTGAACAGATGAAATGGTGTAACAGACGCCAGCATCTATTTTCTCAGTGTTGGTCCTGTGTAAATAGTTGATCTTAGGGGTCTCTATATTGCATATACACGGAACCTTTAATTTATCTCAAATGCTCAGTTGTAAAACCAGCCATGCTGGCGGTTCCTTTTATCAGTGTGATGATATGCTAACTGTTTCTGATATAATTTTGCTCTAAAAGCCCTACACTAATTTTGTCTTGTGGATACGCCGCGCAGACAAATGCTGACTCAAAAGGTCATAACTTTACCCTAATTTTCTCTAGACGGTATTGCTCCTGTATAAATACTTGGTCTCAACTAAAACTATGTCTAGATACATCCATTTCTGCGTTAAGTAATTCGGGATGGAGGGAGTAATGTATTTCTTCCTACACTTCCACTTCTCTTGTATATACTTGAGTCTTGAATAAGCACTGAATGTTTAAATGTTGGTGTGCACGCATTTATATAATAATGAATAACTAAACAGGTGATTTCACACATCACCTTCCGTACTCACAATTAAAATTTAGCACTTTCTACTCATCAGTACACCTTGATCTTAGTGGTCCCTGTATTGTACTATCATACTAATTCTTCCTACAGTTCTACTTCTCTTACATACACTTGAGTCTTAAATATGCACTGAATCAGTGTTAGTGCGTACATGTCTGACATAAAAGGATACGTAATGAAGAAATACACAGATGATTTTGCACTTCACCTACTGTGGTTACAACTAAAATGTAGTACTGTTTACTCATCAGTACATCTTGAACAATGCCAGCGGTTGAATATTTGTAACTGTTTATCTGTTTCTGTTCTTCTTTTCCCACATTGTTGTGCTATTAGCCCTATTTTCGCCAAAAGGTATTGCTCCTGTGTAAATACTTGGTCATAGGGCGGGTCCCTGTGTTGTCACATAAATTTTTTCTGCAGTTCTGCTAACATACTCTTGAATTGGCAAGGAATATTTAATCTGTGTGGAATGCTCAATTGTATGAAACCAGCCATGTTGGTGGTTCTTTTATGAGAGTGATGGTACCTCAAATCTTTCTGACATAGTACTGCCCTAAAAGTCTGCACTAATTTTATCTTCTGTATATACGATGCAGACATATGCAGAGTCGAAAGGTCACAACTTTGCACTTAATGCTTCATTCGATGAGGTTGATGCTGCTGGGTATGATGGATTGGTGATTCCTGGAGGCCGTGCACCAGAGTACCTTGCGATGGATGAAAAAGTGCTCGACTTAGTTAGGAAGTTCTCTGACGCTAAGAAGCCCATTGCATCAGTTTGCCATGGCCAGCTGATTCTGGCAGCAGCAGGAGTAGTCAGGGACCGTACATGCACCGCGTATCCTGCTGTTAAGCCAGTTTTGGTTGCTGCTGGGGCTAAGTGGGTAGAAGCTGATACTATGAAGAAATGTGTCGTCGATGGTAATCTCGTCACTGCGGCGGCTTACGACGGTCACCCTGAATTCATCAGCCTGTTTGTGAAAGCACTTGGGGGCTCCGTCGCAGGCTCAGACAAAAAAATATTGTTCCTCTGCGGGGTAATGCCTCACAACTCATGTTTTGCTTTGCAGATATTGTTTCTCATTTTTCATAAGTGATAGCCACTGTGCTGAACCTGTTTGTTTTACTGATATTCTGAACAGGACTACATGGAGGATTACGAGGTCATGGTCCCGTTCCAGGCCCTTCAAGCCCTTGGCTGCCATGTCGATGCGGTATGCCCCGACAAGGGCCCCGGTGACAAGTGCCCAACCGCCATCCATGACTTTGAAGGGGACCAGACGTACAGCGAGAAGCCTGGTCACGATTTCCCTTTGAACGCGTCGTTTGACGGCGTGGACGCTTCAAGCTACGACGCGCTTGTGATCCCAGGTGGGCGTGCCCCCGAGTACCTTGCGCTGAACGAGAAGGTGCTCAGCTTGGCCAAGGGGTTCATGGATAAAGGAAAGCCGGTCGCGTCGATCTGCCACGGGCAGCAGATCCTGGCTGCTGCCGGGGTTCTTCAGGTACGTGATAGCTGATATATGTTAACTGGCTGCTCCTGCTCTGCATCAGTTCTACTTCTACCCTTCCTGCTTATAGCCCGTTCTGTTGTGACCCAACTGTCTGTCTGTCGCGACACCCGCTATAAATCATCAGCATATGTGAAATGTTGTTCTAGGAGGAACTGTATCTTTATTCTTCATCGAATCGGTCGGTCGAAGCACGAAATTGAATTAACCCTTGCTGCTTTGTGCACGCTGATGATATGCAGGGCCGGAAGTGCACGGCGTACCCGGCGGTGAAGCTGAACGTGGTGCTGGGCGGGGGGACGTGGCTGGAGCCGGACCCGATCCACCGGTGCTTCACGGACGGCAACCTGGTGACGGGCGCGGCGTGGCCGGCGCACCCGGAGTTCGTCGCGCAGCTCATGGCCCTGCTCGGCATCAAGGTATCCTTCGCGTGAGCGCTCGCTCACAAGCTCTGTCTGTCTGGGCTCTTTACATCACAATGGTATACTAGTACTACAACACAGATACTCGTAGATGATGTCCTTGAGTTTGAGATGAGACTGTCAGTGCGTACCTGTACCTGTAGCAACGTCTCGTGGCGTTGTTCCAATCAATAATGAAGTTAGAAGAGGACCTGTGTCTGTGTGGCAGTGCCAGCCCAAGTTAACAACCCACACAGACACAGCCACTTGAGATGGAAAAGGGATTTTTTTTTCCCGAGCCGGCTGGTTGATTGAGCTCGGACCTGCGTCGTTTCCTCCCTTCTTTTTCTGACGATGATTACAAAAGGCACCCTCTGCTAACTCTGAAACCGGACGGAAGCCAATTCAACACACGCCTGTGCCACAAGCACCCTATACGAACCTTCTGCCACCATGAATACTAATTCTTCAGCACACGGAAAATTCCCTAGCTAAAGCATCTACAGCCGGCGCTACAGTCACAGTCCTCAAACCCACACCCCTATTTCTATACCACACAAATGACCATGCAACACGTAAATACATCCACGTACTAGTTTACTAGATAATACTGTAAGAGCATCTACAGCCGGACTTGGCAAATCCAGGCCCTACAACGTCCGCAGGCGCGTCCGCGGACTGTGACCGGGCACTTCTCAAATCGCATCGTCCACATTCATGTCTTTCATATCTGAACCCCTATATCCATACTATAGCATGCAATGTCGATCAAACTACGTAGATCAACTCCGAACATAGAAATTGCACAGTAGTTCACCAAAAGATCCACCAAAGTTCACACAAACGACGGACAACTATATACTACATCTAAAACTTGAAATTAAAATCAACTTCACCACTTTCGGGCCGGCCCTTTCCCCTTCTGGTCACCGGCGTAGCTGTACCCGTCGTCGACTGGTGGAGGATTGTCCGATTCGTCGGAGGAGGAGCCGCCGTCGTCAGAGGAGGAGGAGTCGACGATGATGAGGCCCTTGAGGCGTTGGACGGCCCGGTCCCACTGGCGCTTGAGCTTGGCCAGCCGAGTCGCCTCCTTCGCCTTCTCCAATGCCTCCCGCTCGGACTGCTCGATGGCAAGCCGAAGAGCTTTCGCCGTCGTAAGCGATCGGCGGTAGACCCACGCGAGGAGCCGCTCGTCCTCGTCGGGCTCCACCGGTAACCCACGCCAACGGCGGACAGAGCTCTCCACAGCCTCCCTCTCACTTGCCTACTGCCTCTCGCGGCGGGCGGCGGGGCGGGCACAAGCACCCACCGCTGCCCACGAGGGGGAGCAGCAGCCGGCGGGGCGAGGGGACGATATAGGGGAGGCGTTGATTGCGCTGGCCGCCTGTTGGAGCTGCCCATGGACCGGGAGGGGCCAGCGCTGGCGTCCGAGATGCCCCGACGGGGAAGCTGCGGCTGCAGCGAGGCTGCAGATCCGGAGCTGCCTCCGGTGTCCACGTTGGATCGCTCCAAGGTGATGCTGATGGCAAGCTGATACTCCGGACCGACCTCGTCGTTGAAGCGGCCGCTGAAGCTCAACATTGCGCCAGATTCGATCGGAATCGGTGAGGGGAGAGGAGAGGACGGAGCGAGAGAGAAGAGTGAGTGAGCTAGGGTTTCAGACCGGGGCGTACTAGGTAGGTTTGAGAGGTCCGGCTGTAAATACTCTAAAATTTTAAATAATACTCCCTCCATCTCATATTACTTGTCGCAAAAACGAATCTATCTAGACGTGACGTATTTTCACTGCGAGAAACATCCATTTTCGACGACAATTAATATGAGATGGGGGAAGTAGAATTTTGCTAAGATGAAGGAGAAAGAAGAAGAGCGGGCTACATGCTAACACTCAGCTGCAGTAGCAGCACATGATTCTAAAGACTTTGTGAGAGAACAAGATGGGTCCTCAACCATGCTCTAAATGTATAATCCGGAGGGGGTGAGTGCGCGAGTCGGTTAGTCATGTTTTGCCGACGCAAAAGCGGCAGCCGAACGAGGCGTCGTGGCACACCCCACACCCGGCCTGAAATATCCACCGAACTGATCCATGTCGAGTCGGCTAGAACTCACGCAAGTTTTAGGTCATGTGGTACGTCAGGCGGCACGTACGTACGTGCCGACGCCGGACCAAAGGGAAAACCGGCCATGCCAAGTTCGGTACTCCAATTGTTTACATGCCGTTATGAGATCACCGACGGGCGACGGCGTCCACTCGGCAACTGCCACCCGACCCCGATCGTTCCATCCATCCAAAAGGCGCCTTCCCCGAAGATCGCATGGAGAAAAGGCGCTTTCTCTTTCTGGCGTGGCCGTCGTCCCGTCCACCGCCGGCTACCGACCGAGCTTTGGGCTTTTGCCGCCGCCGCCGGCCCCGGCCGGTTTTATCCATCCATCTCACGCGACAATCCACCAACCAAAAGCTTGCTAGCTAGCTAGCCGTACGTAATCATGCACGCCTCTGACCCCCCTAATTAATGCTCCCTAGCCGGTATTAGCACTCGGCGGCGCGAAAACAATCATGCGTGTGGACCGTTGCACCGTCATTAGTACCTAAAGATTGTGAAATCAAGAATCAACATGTGATTTCCTCGCAAAGAAAAGAATCAGCGTGTGATTAGCATGGACGGTTAGGAGTGTGTGTCAGCATGCATGTACATCCACGTTGTACCCCGGTGTTTCTTAAATTGTTCATCGGAAGGTATCGAATTCCGATGGGTTCGAGAAACCTTATACTATACGCTAACAAAAACAGAAGAGGGTTGTTGCTTGCTTGATACTCCAGTTAATTTGTGTCTCGCAACTGACCTTCTGTACTCTGATTCCATGATAGTTTCAGTGGCAAATTACAGTTGAACAAGAACAACCAGCTAGCCCCACATGCCATGCACAATTGGTCCATGGACGATGGGACGGGCACGAATCGGCGGACAAACATGCATGCATGAAAACCAATCATGCATCTTTGTGGCCACGGCAATCGATCGACCTAACGGTTGGAATATCCTGCCCTTGTATATATCTCAAGCCACACATGCATGATGGACGCATGCGGCAAGTGGGGGGCACATGTAAAAGAGCATTCTTTTCTGAGACAATCAATCAGACTACTCTACCGTGGGTTTCTTTTTTCTAGCTTAGCTCCACCGGCCATTGCATTATTGCCCAAGTTGTAGCAGCAGCCATCATCTTTTGTCACTGATCAGCAGGGGCAAATTAAGCCACAGGACGGACGCCATGTTCTGTTTATAGATATAGAGATAGGCCAAATAGACAAAGGGACAATAATCTGCAGGTCCTTGAGTTTTACCGGTCGATCTATTTCACGACTAGCATTAATACGTACTCCCTCCGTTCCAAAAACCTGTCTCTCAAACAGATGTATCTAGCATCAAGTTGGTGCTAGATACATCCATTTGAGGAACAAGATTAGGACAAGCTTTTTCGAACGGAGGAAGTAGCAGACAGGTGATACAAACTGATTTGTGCATCGATCTCGATCATGGCAAGCAAACAAAAAAAAGGGGCCAAAGCAAAAGGCAATAACGATCGGTCGATGATACTGTGGATCTAGGGCGTCGCATCAACAGATTGCGCTCCATGGCGTCACGTCAACACATAGTCCTCCTTTATCTGCAATTAACTAATCCTATCACCTAAACACGAATGGGATGTAATTCGGTAATCAATCTTTATATAGTCCCTCCGTTCAGGTGCATAAGTCATCTTAGATTGTGCACCGTGACTAAGGTAAAGAAGAAAACAAGAGAACTTAATATTTATTTACTAATTAAAAGCATTGCCGTGTTTGTTAGTCTTAAGTTATTGAAAGCATGCACGTCCGACATCTCTTATTTTTTTAGATGAACATGGAGGAACCTCCGACATCTTTTATTGGTTGATATGTCAAGAAATAAGAAACGAGCATCCGCAAAAAAGAAAAAAAAGAAAAAACGAGGTGGGAGTTAATGCATCACGTCTAAGTGTTTTCGGATTATCTGGTTTCCGTAAAGTGAATTATATACCGTAGACGGAGGGAGTACCAATCTTTTATACCAACACAAAAAACACGAGCTATGTTACGTTTGGTCCAATCAATCGGCGCAATCTTTTTTCCTTTCCAGTAAAACCTTTTAACAAGTTTCAAATTCGTCGGGGACTAAAATTGAAATAAAATAGGAGCCGTTGTTTTTCATGACGCGGCTGCAAAGCGTACACAAAGCCGTAATTTGGCAAACCTCCTGTAGCGAGTCTCTCCGCCGTCCAAACCCGGTCTTGGAGGGCGAGCCACAAAAAAATCCTTGGATTTTGGGATGCCCAGCTCCTTGGACGCCGTACTTTTCATCTTCCTCTTGATGGATCCTAAGAACTGCGCTTTATCTTGCAAGAAACTGTGCCTGATTGGTCTTGTTTTGGATGATGAAAAGAAGTAGAATGGGTGGAGCCAATCTGATCTTGTGCCTCGGAATTCATTTCATTTCAAAGGGCACTGTTCTTCTCTCCGCAAAAAAAAAAAAAGGGGCACTGTTCTTCCGTACCGTACGGCGTACGCTCCTATCTTTTGTGCGGCTCAGCCCGGGCCGACCGACCCAAGGAACACACCACTCATTCGCCGTCGGGCTTGATCAGGACGTTGCACAGGAAAGGAAGAGGCCGTGGCCGGGCCGGGCAGTCATTTTCCTTGTATCTACATGGACGGGACGGTTCTCCTCTCCTAGGAGTAGTGTAGATACCAAATCGACCTGGCAAAGAGAGAGATATTATCCACGATGGCACGATTTCGTTGATAAATCCTGTCATTTTCGTCAGTTTTCCGTGATCAACCTTAATTACCACGTCAATTGTGGTGTTTGCCAGTTAGTACTAGTAGCACAGTAGGCTGTTTCCTGGACCAGCCAGCCATAATGTACAGTGAGGCAGTGACTGCACCGCCTGCAGGCGATTGAGTAAACTGACAGTAGATGCTCCCGGGGCCTGGACCTTTACTGAATTCTTTT